CTTTAAAAATAGTCAAAAAGGTCACTTGTATGGGTGATTAGGTACTTGGGTTGACCCTCATTTGTTTTAAACGGGTAAATATTAACCTGAAATGGAAATAATGTATAGAACTATAGATAGTTTATTAATTAGTTAGGTTAACCCTCATGTTGGTTGCTAAACCAAATCTTACTAAGTAGGGTCTTATTTGTATGGGAAAGTGGAGAGAATAGAGGGAGTTGGAGAATTTAGAAGTAGAAGTTCCTATAAAACAGGAGTATAAATGAGTGGGGCTCTAGTGAAAGGGGAGAATAAATAAGAATTAGAGATAATTTAGTAGGTGTTTGGAATCAATGTCGTTTCCTCAGAAAACGGCACCACATCAGCACCACACCAGAATTTCATTTTTTGGGAAAACGTCTGCTGTTTGGTTAGCCATTTTTCCGAAAAACTTTCTCAGACCACACCTTGAAAGGTGTGCCATTTTTCCAAAAAAAAAGTTTTCCCAGACCATGCCTTGGAAATCAGGAAAGGTGTGGTCCGACCTGAGAAAACACCATTTTTCTACTGTTGCTAGCAACAGTATGCTGACATGGCATTAAAAATGCTTATGTGGCAGCAACAGCAACAACACCAAATAAAAAACCTGAGAAAACAGCATGTTTATACAGCACCATTTTCTGTTAATGCCTCTCAGGAAAAAGCATTGGTTCCAAGCACCACCTTAGGAAATGAGTGTTTTTTTGGAGATATGGTTGGAGGAGAGAATAGAGGGGAACTGGAGTATCTATTGGTTGTTTGAAAAAAATAACATGGAATAAAAAAATCAAAATTTCAAAAAAAAAAGAGAAAAAAGCACATTACCTTGTTTTATTGTGTATGTGTGTATAGATGCTTTCTTATGTATTTGAGGGTAAAACTTTCAATTCTATACTTTCACTAATGCTCCATTGTTTTCTCTTCCACTGAATACTTTTGGGTCGTGGTTTTGCTTTCGAAATTGTTTGACCAACATCTTTATAAGCTTGATCCTTGTGCAGTGAAGTGCATCTTACTAGGATGCTCAAAGACCAAGAAAGGTTACAGGTCTTAAAGTCCATCTTTACAAAGACACTTCACCAACCACCTCTCACACAGGTTTACACTAGACGACCAATTACTCAAGCTCCACCATCATTTGTCTCAACACCTAAAGGTCTGAGTCATTCATCCTTGGATCTTTGACATGCCCATTGAACTTTGAAAAAAATAAGTGATCCTATAGTACTCACCCCAATAGTCATTTTGTTTCTTACAATTCATTGTCTTCTTTTGCACATGCCTTTATTTCATCCTTGTCTCCAGTATCTATCCCAAAGTCTGTGTAGGTTGTTGTGGGATGGTTGCTGGATCCAGATTCGACTGTCTGGGGTTTAAGAGATCTTAAGAAGGTGCCTTGGGTAACAAGGAATATGATAGTGACGATCCAATGGGTAAGAAGATGAGATGGCTGATTCTCTTCTAGTGGTAACTTGTTGTGGGAAGGTGCTTTATGATTGTGTATAATCTCTCCTCTAGTGGTAACTTGTATCTCATATAGTCCTGATTTGTTCTTAAAGAGTGAGGCTGCACCTCAAGCCTCTCTCTGGGCTTATTTGTAACAGATCTTTCTTTGAGTAATGACTTAAATTTTTAAGTACCAAAAAAAAAAAATGCAAGTCTTACATCATAATGAAACTTGGGATTTAGCTCCTCTTCCTTCTGGAAAAGAAATTGGATGGTGTCATTTGGCATATAATATGGCAATGGTTTTGCTCAAACCTATGGTGTAGACTTTGATGAGCATTCTATCCTATTGCTATGATTACTTCAATCCAAGTGGTTATTTCTTTTCCTACTACTTTCCACTAGCCCTCACATTAATTGGATGTTAAAAATATTTTCCTACATGGGGAGTTAACTGAAGAGGTACCTAGGATTGTTAATCATGTGGAGTATGCATGAATGGTGGGTATATTTTATTGCAAATTCTTCTTGTCCAATAACCAGTCCCATATAGTCCTCATCCAACAACAGTGATGGCGACGGGGTGAGTTCGGGGATTTCTTTTTGTAAATTCTAGACCCTCCCAACCTCACCAAAACCTACCAGCAGGTTGAATTTTCAGAACTCAAACCCTCCCCACACATGAAAATGCAAAACCCTTCCCGACCCTACCCTCCCCACATTTGGCCTGAAACAGGTTATTAAACATTGAAATTAATATATTTAAATGATGTATATATGATAGAATTTTATGTTTTTATTTGAAATTTATATTTAGTTACTTGTTTGAATGATTTAATCGCTAATAGGCAGTATTAAGGTATGTTGGTTAGCATAGAAACTAATGAAGTAGCTTAAGAGGGGTAGGGATCTTTAGATTTTATACTTTCAGATTCCATCGCACTTTGACAACTATGATGGGCAGAAATAAAGGCCTTAGACTGGCAAAACAATGGGGAATGCAACAGTTAGAGGTGGAAGGAGATTCCAAACTGGTAATGGGTTGGATGCAAGCAAGAAATTTGGGAATGTGGTCTCAGGCAAATGCTAAGGGAAATTATGAACTTAGAAAGGGAGATAAGGGTGCAGTTTAAATGGGCAAGAAGATCAGCAAACAGAATGGCTGATGCTTTAGCTAAGCAAGGAATCAACAGGGAGGCTTTGTGTTGGGCTTGTTTGTAAGATTGATCATGTATTTGGATTCGCTAGCTATCATTTGGGTCTTGACAGATGTACCCTTTGTTTAATCTCATCAATGAAAGTTACCGTTTCCTGTAAAAAAATAATAATTTTCTTGCAAAAAAAAATACCCATGTTGTGACAGAATACTCATCAACTTGCCCTGTTTCTATCAAAATTCTTGCAAATTGCAATTGGTTCCATCTTCTATTTCTAGAGTCAAATCTCTTCAACCTGCCATAAACGTTCCCAACCACCCTAAATGTTTGAGTACACCAGGTGTGCACTGGGATGCTGAAGATGTTCATCCAGACAAAGTTTCTTCTTGTCGTGTTTCTGATCTTTCACGCCATCAGAGTCCATCTATCAAGTCTCAACTTACGTTTCCTCTTCATACACACTACTCCATTCTTCAGAACCCCCTTTGCATCTTTTTTCTTAAACGAAAATAGAAATATCCCTGCATTAAGTTTTCTCATGTCTAAAAAACCCAACACACAATTCTTTTTTTTTTGCCCACCTGTAAACATCCAACTCATCTGGATCAGGGTCAATGAATCTACCCATCAAACAAGCTTCCAACAACTACAACCTTTCCTTCAACTTACCTGTATCCTTCACTATGGTTCCTACAATCACCATTAAGTAGAATATAGAGCCATCAATCATATTATAGGTAAGCTAGTATGCCTCAAGAGTCCACTTGAGATAAAAATCATAGTGACACTTCCTATGCACCTATACTATGATATTCCAGCTGTGATACACATTGCATCAAACTTTGTGTTCCATGAAAGGACAAAGCATATCAACATTGACTGCTTTCATCAGAAAAAAGATTCAATGCTGAGATGTGAATAGTTTGTAAAGACTGGAGATCAGTAAGCATATTTGCTCAACAAGGCACTACATCAACCTTAGATTTTTCTTATTAACAAACTGGGTCTATATGACATATATACCAGCTTGGAGCAGAGTATTAGAGAATAGCTTTTATTTATTTTCTTTATTTTATGCTGTTTATTCTTATTTAGACACGGGTATATGTGTCTTTTCATTATTCCTTGACTGGGGTAGTTTGGGAATCACAATATTCTTAATAAACAGGGGCAATGTTGCAATTTGATTGGTTATAAGAAATCTATACAAATAGGCCTCACAAGCTGGGAGATTAAATTATTCTCCTCAATTGCCAGGTCTGTTCCTGTCTCTCTTCTCCTCTTGCTCTTGTTTCTTCTTTCTTATTCTTTTCTTATCTTTTTCTTCTTTCTACCCACCAATATACAGATTCTGTACAAGTATCCATTGTTGCATTGTAAGATTAAACAAACTTCCAAATTTATTCATGTGTGTAAATAGCAACAAAGAAATCTATCTATTGAGAAAAGAGTGCTGAATTGGGAGAGAGATATCCTGTAATGTACTACAGAAGTCTAAACAATCCAGGAAATTTCCACCTGGCAACTTATTTTGGGGCTCTAAAGGAATCACCACATTCCTCTCCTCACCCCTCATGGAAAATTTTTCATCCAGAAACAGTTTGCAAGTGTCCAATGTTTCTCTAGGCATCTTTTAATTAAAAAAAAAGAAAAGAAAAAAGAAGTTTGGAAGGTCATTATTAGTTGGGAAAAACTCCTATACAGACTGGGGTATGGGGTAATGTGGACTGGAGAAGTGAACATGTAGACAATCCAGAGGGTCCTCTATTTGAGGGACAGTCTGGACTAGTTACAAGGTTTCACCACATGAAACATAGGTTGGACCAGCAACAGGCCTTCCTGAATTTGACCCAATTAGGAAACCTTTTATTATATTTGCAGGTTTGCTAGTTCCTCCTCATTCTTTGTGCGAAAAGAATTGGCAAACACCTCACCACATTTGCAAAATAAGCCCACTATAAGCAATTAAAAAGTTCAACTTGAGTGACTATTAGGTTAGTTGCGAAAACCATCAACAAAAGGTGGGGCATATGGCTGATAGACTATGGGACTGAACATGTGGCCAATCCATGTGGTAAAAATAGGTGGTTCATGTAGGGAAGCTTCCTGCTACACACTAATGAGCTTTTATCCATATATCTGTTGTGTTTATGCATGTATTTATGTTAATGTGTGTATGTTGCATCATACATGTCTGTGTTTGTGCAACTATGCATGCCTATGAAGTATACCATCATTGATAAAAAAAGAATAGCCCATCACTCAATGGTTGATTCTTGGATGTATTGCCACCATATCCACCTCAACGCATATTTTTTATGTTCCTGCAATAAAACTTACAGAACTTGAACATGGAAGGAGCCACTATAATCATATTACCTCGGTGCCTGTTCGCTGTTCTTCAGGACTGTGTAGGAGTTGAAAGACCACTTCCCAGGCTGAAAAGAAAAACAATGGGATATCAGCTGATGCAAACCAGGAACATAAAAAGCTGCACTTTTCTGTACCCATGCTTTGATATTGGCCTTGAAAACCAGGAATTTTTCACTGAATATATATGGTGAAAATTCATTTTGACAAGCAGGCATTGTTCCAAGAACAATCTGATTCACATGTTTTCCAAAATCCCTAAATGCTTAGCTGCTCACATATATGTCCAGGTGAGAATCTAAAGACATGAACCACTATAAATCAAGGTTAAAAATTTCAATACATATCAGGCCGTATTGGCTGATACGTATCGTACCGGTGGCTTCCCAATACACCCCTACAGTGGGTGTTTTGGGTCAGACCCTGGTTCAGGGGGTAGACGGGCCTTAAACCGACCCCTCTGAATCAGATTGAAAAAAAAAACTAATAAAAAGGAAAAGTGAGCCTCGATACAGGCCAATACACCCCTACCAGCATATCGGCCTGTATCGATATTTTGAACCTTGCTATAAATACTAATGGTGATCTCATTAGACCCCACGATCTATTCTCCTATTCACACCTTCCTCTCCCTCTCTTTCTCTTCCATCTTGCTGCTCTAAGTTTCTTGCTTATTTTTCTGTTACACATTGATTCTACATGATTTTTATTGCTGAAATCTACAAGTCCAACTTATAACTGATTTTTTTTCTTATGGTAATGTAGGTGGTCTTCTACACGAGACTGAATCACCCATCTACTTTTTCTCATTTTATCACCCATTGGCTTGGAGCTACTCCTATGTTCCTTCCAAATGACTTCATTTCTGACCCTATACTTTCTAGTTTTTCCAATTATCCATCTCAGCATATACATTTCTATCACATTCATATTTTGGACATGTGTCTTGACTGCCCAACACTCAGCTCCATACAGCAATTCTGGCCCACATGCCCAGGTTTAATCCAAGTGCTTTTGCCCTTATTATGAATTACCAAGCCAAAGCACCGGAAAAGGTCACATTAAATTGTCTCTGTCTCCAATCAAAAAAAAAAAATGCAGCAAATAGTGAAGAAAATCTTAGAGACCACACATTTTCTCAGCATAACTGTTCATGCCTGGTCATCACTCCTTCACGAGCGGAATTTTCAGTCTCATGCAGAGAAGACAAGATATTGAATTGCATGCATAACACAAACCATTGTTCAAATGAACCCAATAGACTGAGTCCTCCAAACAGGGTTCTTTATAGTTTAGACAAATCAGTCTCACCAATATAATATAATATATATATAGTGATCGTCCCACCTTAGAGTCTTGTTTGATTGACAATGAAACTTCATGAGAGAGAGAGAGATTAATTATTTTTTGGAATTGTGAACCAAAAAAAAAAGTTAGGGTGGAGAAGCAAAATTCAAAACTTCTTTTTCTTCTTTCCTCTTTTCACCATAAAGAATATGACAATGACCTCTAACATAATCTTGGAGAATAAATGATGCAGGGAAGAACAAAACAAATACCAGATTGTTCACATAATTTGCAGCAAGCAACATAAACCAAATACCATGATGAATAGCATAAATTGGAAAACCAATCCAAGACATGACCAGCATTATTTGACTACCCTGCTTTTTATTGGGAAATTAATTGCTTGTAGGAAGAAAATACTGTCCAAGACAGAAGATAGCGGTACTCTTTGTCATTTAGTTGGTTAGTTCTTTATTAAGAAATAAATAATTGGAGTTGCTTAGTGGTCTGGTGGAAACTATCCTATGTGCTCTCACATATCTCACATGCAAAAAGTCTAAACAGGATTTTTTCCTCTTTTTTTTTTTTTACTTTTATAGGAGAGAACAGAAAACAAGATTCAATCTGCCTCACATATTTCAGTGGCCGAGGATACTGGCATGCTCCAGGAGAACCATAGTTAACAGCCAAAATATTCACACCATCCTGTAAAAAGGGGAAAGGGAAAGGAAAGCAATCATTAGGACTAGCTGAAAAAACTCAATAATGCATATATGCTGTACAAAACAATTCATTTAAACAAAAATGACCAATAGATCATTATGGAAGCAAAAAATATCCAAAATTGCATGTACCATAGAATATAGCACTACATTTTATTTTTTATGAATATAGGAAGCAAGGCAAGCAACTTACTGGTTACTACACAAGGTAACTGAGCTGGAACAAGCACACAAAAACTTGAAAAGGGGGTTAATATTAGGCTGAAGAGAAATACAATTAGGGATTTTGCATTTGAGTGGTTATGAGAATGATAATATGCAGGTTTTATCAGGATATAGATGAGATTTGGAAATAAGATTAAAGATTGTAATATATGGTTGAATGTATTAAGACAAGAATCAACACCTTAAGTAAGGTGCAATGACATTTTGCAGTTGAGCAGCAAAGCAGTGAAGCTCTAGTCTGTGCTTCGTCTTGCAGCAGAAGAGGATGACAATTTTTTTTTTTTTTGATCAGTAACATGAAACTTTATTAATGATATGAAACTATGTGAAACTTTAGGTACAAAGGGGGTAGGTAAAATGTCTTAACTCCCCACCAACAGAATACAATGGAAAAAAGTCAAAAGTTAGCCCAAAAGAAAGATTCCCTATTCACCCCTTGCTTGGCTAACCCATCAGCAAATGAATTAGCAGTCCTCTTCACCCAGCTATAATGCAGCACAATCTCCCTACTCAGCCATTTGAAATTTTTCTTCTCATTGTTAGAACTCCACAGGCCATTGTCTTCTTCCTTTAGCCACCAAATCACCACCTCCGAGTCACCTTCAAGGACCAATCAGTTTTATGAACCCAAAGGGACGAGGGGACCAAGAAGGACTACGAGTCCTCTTACATAGGGCAGAGGAAGGTATCTCTTTCCAATTTCTTACCAAATCAGCCACAGAATAGCCTGAGAACAGCTCCACAGTTTTCAGCCAATGGGCTACCCTTAAAAGAATTAGATCTAATAAGTTTTCTAGGGTTCTTTCCTTGTCTGAATATATTCGCGAGTTTCTTTCTTCCCATAGTGACCAACACATTGCTGCCCTGATGCTTCTCCACATAATCTTCCCTCTCTTCTTCGGCCATCTGAAAAAAGAAGAGAACAAGCTTTGGACGCTCCCAAGGGGAATCTAAATACACCCAAAGAGGGAAAAAACCCACTCCCATACTGTTTTAGCAACCGAACAAGTAACCATAAGGTGGTAACCAGTTTCCCCATCAGCTTTACAGAGAGTACACCTAGTAGGAAGTAAACAAGAATTAGGTCTCTTTTTTTTTTAAGTAGATCATTTGTGTTAATTCTTTCCAGGAAAGTTTCCCAACAAAAACTACCAACCTGAGGAGGAATGGGCCTACTACAAATTTTGTTAACCGGGAAGGACAACCCAATAAGATCAGAAGGTTGAGTTAATGTCTCAAAAAACGAAGCACAAGAGAAAATATGATGTAGCCCAAGTCTGTATCCCTAATTGCCCTTCTCAGACCTAGGTTCCACCCAAAACCAGAAGGAGAGTTTGAAGGGCATAAGAAGGATGATATGGGTTCATTTTTCAAATCTGAAAGAGCATACAAAGAAGGAAATTGGTCCATCAAAGGTGATCCCCAACCCAATGTTGTTCCCAAAATTTTATTCTATTACCGGAGTTAAGACCATATCTGATCCAAGGGGAGAAGATTGGAAACAATTTATAAATGGCTTTCCAAGGAGAGGCAGTTGTAGCCCTTGCCAAAATTCCAGGTCCCAACCATTGTCTTCCAACCCATGTATGCTAGCCACAATCTTTGTCCACAATTTGTCTCTTTCCAATGGAAATCTCCATAACCATTTCCCTAACAATGCCATGTTCCTTTTCCTAATATTCCCAATCCCAAGACCTCCTAGCTTTTTACATCTAGTTACCAACTCCCATCTCACCCTATGGTCCCGCTTTTCCTCTCCAGGCTCCCACAAGAAGTTCCTCATGAATCTTTCCAAAATGTTAGACACCTTTGTGGAGATCTTAAATACTGATAGGAAGTAAATAGGTAGGTTAGCTAGGGTTGACCTAATCAAAGTAACTCCCCCCCCCCAAGGAAAGATAATTTTTCCTCCAAGAAGCAAGCCTTTTTTCAAATCTCTCCACCACCGGGTTCCAAAAGCTTACTTTCTTAGGGTTATCTCCCAAGGGGAGGCCTAAGTCATCGGCCAGTCCGAGGTTGCACAACCTAACATGCCTGCATATTCACTTAACTCCCTCTCCTTCAAATTCACACCCACCATTACAATGTAAAATCAGCAGAAAACCTTCTTTGGACCCATGTAGAAGCTTTCTTTTTTATCAGTAAGATAAGTTGCTCAAATGACCATGCAACTTCACCAGTGCTAGTGTATTACGGGCAGTGAACTGAAGAGCATTTGGAAGGAGCACTTACCAGAAGAAGAGGGTGGCATATAAATCTTCCTCTCTGGGTTCACAACATGGGTGCTTACTGGGAGGTGAAAGTATGAAAAGGTGTACTGTTCAAGGATGCTGTGAGGAACCTTGTTTTTTTTTTTTTTGATAATTGTGCTGTGAGGAACCTTGTTGGGTGACAACAATAAGCTATCAAAGAGGACTTTCTACATTGAAACTGATCTCGAAGGAATAGGCTTCCAGAAGGCATTCTTCCAAGGTTGTCATATTGGTGGATATAAGGACAAAAAGTAAATGGTGAAAGAGAACTGAAAGATTGGGCAAGGGAAACATGGCTACCATTGTCAGGGTTGAAGGTTAAGCATTTAATACATGATTTATTCTTTTTGGGGGGTGACCTAGTTTGACAGGAAAACTTGGGGATAGTGGCATATGCAAGCCTATACAAATACCAATTAATATCATTGTAGATACTATTTTTATACAACCAATAAAGTACAAGTTAACAATAAAAAATACATGACATATTATTGTTTATGTTGCCTCTAGAGCTGATGCTGACTGTCTTTTTGGCAAAACCAGTATGGTTAATGGAAGGAATAAGGTTGCAATTGGAAAACTGGACTATAGGGGCTGATTGCTCTTCCTACGAGTTGGAGTCCAGAAAAGTGGCTCAGGAAGTGCATATCTGATGGATATGGTCTACCATTGATGCTGTGGATCCCTAAGAAAACTGAGGTCATTTTCCTATATATAGAAAAGCAAAGCAGTCCACGTCAGCATGCTTCTCCTTTCTCCCTTCCCCCTTCCTGCTTCCTCCTTAAGTCCTCTCCCTTCCTCCATTCCCCCTTCCCAGCCTTCCCATTAAGCCAAGTCATCATGGCTTTAGCCTATCCTATTAGGCCACATCATCCTTCCTCTCAAAATTTCAAATTGTAGAGGAAACCAAAATCAAACCATGATGTAGTTGGGAATTGCCAAATACTATGGTATTGCTTCCCTGCTTTTTTGAATAAGGTGTCTTCCATTCGAAGACCTTTCCTACACCCTGTTTCTTCCTTTTCCAATATCATTCTGATAGCAAATTTTTCTTTTCCTTCCTCTTCCAGTAGCAATCAAACTTGAACAAGTTAGCAATCTTCCCATTAGCAAGGTTGGTACCACCAACTCTCCTTAATCTGTAATAATCTGTAAATTAACAGACCATTTCTACTGATAATCCGTAAAGGTCTATAACATAATCTGTAAATTAACAGAATTTCTGCAGATAATCCGTAAAGGTCTATAACATAATCTTTACACAGTCATTTTTTTTTTTGTAAAGGTCTCTAACATAATCTTTTTTCCCACATCTTGCAGTGATACATTTTCAAGTTTCCTTCCTGTTAGCAAGGTCTCTAACATAAGCAGTAAAGGTTATGGTTTCAATTCATCCATCTCAGCATATGCATTTCTGCCACACTCATTTTTTGAACATGTTTCTTGGCTGCCCAAAACTCCATTCCATACAGCATAGTTGGCTGTACAACTGTTTTATAGAATTTTCCTTTTAACTTGAGTGGTATTTACCCATCACATAACTCTAGATGCACCTCGCCATTTTGCCCATCCTGCTCTAATTCTATGGGCAACATCCTCCTCAACTCTCTCTTGTTATGAATTAGTAAACCAAGGTAATGGAAAAAGAAAATCAATTTAAGTATGTAAAAGAAATAGAGATGGAAAAACATGACAGTTTAGAGCTGTTAGATTATAATAACATAAAATTTCTTAAAATAAAAAATAAAGTACAAGAAAGGTGATCAGAAGTCACCGAGAGAAGAAAACAACCCCCAAAACAAACCATCACAACCTTACTTTTTTTATTTTGAAAAGTAAAAAGAAAAATTCATTGAGAAAAAAGGAAAACCGATTACAACCAACATAGGGGTGCTAAGATAACATCCAACCAAATTACAAAAGGATAACAAAAACAAACAAGCATAATGAAAACAAGAGACCCCCCCCCCCCAATGCAAATGTATCTAGTCTTCAGCTTCAAACATCTTGTCATAGCCATCGCCATCCTGTTCCACACCTTTCCTCCTTCCCCTATTATGTTCTTCTTCATTCTCTCTTCCCTTTGGCTTTTTTTTAGATGCTTCAAAAGCCCTACTAGCGAACTCCTCACCACCCCAATAATAGCCCTAAGCTCTTGCCAGTTCTAACATCCCTATTGACCAGACTCTTAATCTCCACTTTACCTCCCTCCTCCTTTCCATCTTGTTGAGACCTAGCGAAACAACTCCACCAACTCAACCTCCCTCCTTTTTCCCTGACCCTAGCCTAACCTCCAAACCTTCCTTTGTTGAAGTCAACATTTTCTCCCCTGCTACAACTTGAAGCTCCTCCCCCCTCCATCACCCTTCTTCTTTGAATCTTTATCTCTTAATCTCTTCCTCTTATAGACTCTCTTATATTTATTGGAAGGACCAGCCCCAATCAATCCATCTTTTAGTCTTAAAAAAACCTTTGACATGTGGACAAAATGAGACTTGCTTATTTC